AGGCCTTGATCATGTGTCAGTAAAGATTCTGATTTGCTTTGATTTGTTTACACAAAAATAATCATTAAATTCTTACAGGTATTGATAATAAAAGCATTTTGCCAGTGTAGGACAAAATGAATGGTAGAGTCAATGATGATGACACTCAAATAAGGATGCGCATAGAGCAGTGGTTTTCAACCTGTGGGCCGCGACGGTATTGCAGGGGGGCCGCCAATTATTATTAATAGAAATTGTAATATTGTTAATATAATAAAAAATGTCTAGTCAAAATCAAATAAATCATAATTTGATATATAATTAAATAAATTACCAGTTTATTCAATAAAGACAATTAACAGCCTTGCTTCCGAGTACTTAGATAACCCGACACAAAAAGCGGGATCGTTTAAATTCTTTTGCAGTGGGCCGCGGAAACGTATGTGTTTGGCTGTGTGGGCCGTGAGTTAAAAAAGGTTGGGAACCACTGGCATAGAGTATAGTATCTCTGTTTGGGGCAATTACTAATTTGAAGCCCTGTCCATTAACAGATTGAATGGTTGTGACGACGGCTCGCTTCCACAATGATCAAGCTCAGTGAAAACAGTCAACACTTCCACATTGTGGGTTAGGGGCGCAGGCCCCCCACAATTTGGAAAAACCACATAACATTTTTTGGTGCCCTTGGCGAGCAAAGCGTGTGTGCAAGTGGAGTGCAGCAAAAGGTTACAAGAAACATGAAATACAAAATCACTGCAAGATCTGCCCCAATAAATTCCCATTTAATATCTTATGCCGACACTGTGATATATCGAAAGCACAATGATATTTTAGAGCAAAAATGTTTGGTTCTCCACTCTGACATGCTGTGGTTCCTTCCTGCAGCTCTCTGTATTGACAGGGGTTCGCTACCTGCAGACGTCCATGGAGAATGTGCTGAGGCAGGGTGACCCTGACTCCAAATCTGATGGCTGGCTCCTGGAGAACAGCTTTGCTGAGACTGCTCGCTACAACTTCAACATCATCAAGAACCTGGGAAAATGCTATCAGGTGGACGATGATCCCAACATTGACTTCCAGACTCCTACCCAGCCTGGGTCTGACAACGTGCCTCCCAAACCCATCCTTTTTGCCACCTGACCCCCTTATGGACCTCTGGGAACTCTTTTTTATCATAGTGGTATCTCGGAAAAGGTGATTCAAGAAGGAGAAAGCATGACACATACGTACTTAAAAGGATGGGGAATATTATTTTTTTGTGTCTTGTTTTGTGCCATATGCAAACTTGCTTAACAATGAAGTCATTAAAAAGATCATTGGGCTCATTCACCAATTTCATCAAAGTTTTTTGTTAAATGTGTTTTTGAGAAAGGTTCTAAGAAGGTACTAAGGAAAGTCTACATCAGGTTCATGACTTGTTCTTAAACTGCAGTTATTGTTCGCAAATGTTTCGTTATAATGATGAATCCCATTGTCCTCATAAACTGAAAATGCGTGCCAGTTGTTCATAATTAGCATAGGTTAACACCCTGTCAATCCCCATTAAAGGGCATGCAGTGCCATGTGCAGACACAGAAATTAAGAAGGGTTGAAAGAGAAGTTAAGAATGTCCAAATAAAGTGTGAACAAATTCTAAATAAGAAAACAATGATAAATGTCCGAATTTTTGACCAATGTTCTCCTGTAGTATCCAGTGTGTATTCCAATATGCATACTATGGTTAAACCTTAATACAATAATCTAGGCAACAAATTCAAGGTATGCTAACATACTACCAACCACTAATACTGCCTATAACTATATTTATTTCCAATTTTAATGCTCAAAGAAGATCCGTAACAAATATACACAGTGTATAGTTAACAAATCACTGGACATGTGGGAAAGAGAATTGTGACTTTTTAAAAATGTTATGCTTTCTGGAAGTATACATCATACTCAATTACACAACAATCTTGACATCACCAGCTCCCCCACAGCTGTATGAAATGCCTGTTACTAACACACGCCTTCTCATGAAGGGCTCTATGGATACTAGCTACTGTAACTAAGATCACTCATTGAATTAATACACTATATTATTAATACTTTACATTAAACTACATACAGATTCATGACGTGTCCTTAAACTGCAGAACTGTTTGCAAACCGCAGGTGATGTGACAATCTTTAACCAAAAAGGCCTGAAAGAACATTTTTGCTATGGAATTCTTGTTTAGCCTTGACGCTTTTAGGGCCAGACTTACTAACTTGTGGCATTAAAATAGTACTGTCAGGATTTACTAAAGTCGTGCAGTTAGCGGTGGACAGGTGTTGACAAATTTTGCACCTGGCCATATTATATCTGCATTTGTAGGAGTTCCATTTCAAAGCACAAAATTTGGGGAGAAAAGTATTTAAACGAATTATACAATATGATTTACTAAGGTTTGCGGTAGGCAATTTACTGAAAATTGCGGCATTATTTAATGTGGAAAAAATATGTCATATTTTGTGCTGCCCTTAGTAGATTGGGTTGGTCATCATTTAAATGAACTGACTGCATCTGTGTTCATAAATTTGAGCATTTTTAGTAGATCACCCACAGAACAGGGGACCCCATTGGTGCTTTTTTAATGCACCCTCACATACATTTGCCCTGCTTAGTAAATCTGGCCCTTGATGTTCTAGCTGTAGTTCTAGTTGTGTGAGTGTGTGTGTGGATTAGGTTTATATAACATTGTGGGGACCAAATGTCCTCCACAAAGTAATAAAAACCTGTTGTTTTGATGTTGTGGGGACCATTTTTCAGGTCCACACAAAGATCTGTGAATGCAATCAAAAAAGTAAAAATGTCAAAAGTTTCGTATTTTTATTTATAGTTAAGGTTAGGACTGGGTAGGGGTTAAGGTCGTCATGTTGTGATTAGAGTTTTCCCCATAGAAATTAATGGAGAGTCCCCACGAAGATATAATTACAGACCTATGTACTGTATGTGTGTGTGTGTGTGTGTGTGTGCCCTGAGATGGACTGGCATCCTATATTTGGAAAGAATACATATCATTACATCATGCCTGTTAATTGTGCATAGCAATCATGTTACCCATCGCTTTTATTCTCGTGATATTTGAGCCCTATCTCTTCCTACAGTTTTTCACCTAGGAACTCCATTCCACCTCTCAAATGTTCCACTCATTAAGGAGTCTGCTATCCATGTGGGGGGGGGGTGCATGGATCACATTTGGGGTCCCAGAGGTGTGTGGAACAGTGCTACCCCCTGCACCACCATGCCACACCAAGGACAGGCACTGAGTTTCCCCTTGTGGAGACCAAGTAAGTGGTCCCCACGTCAAAATACCAGGTTATTATCAGAGGTATGTAGGTCTCTATATATTTGTGGGGACTACCCATTCATTTCTTTGAGCATAATCCTAATCCTAAACCCCTACTCAGTTCTAAACTTAGCTATAAGTAACCACAAAAATACAAGACTTTTGGCATTTTTGTTATTTGATTGCATTCACAGATTTATTTTTTTAAACTGAGGTTTGTATCGTGTGGACCTGAAAAATGTCCAACTAGCTAAAAAGTAACAAGTTTTACAAAGTCGTGGGGACCTTTGGTCCTCTCAATGTGGTAAATGCAACACACACACACACACACACACACACACACACACACACACACTGTCTTCATATCTAAATGGGGACCGTCCATTCATTTCTATGGGAAAACCATAATCCCAATCATGACACCCTTAACCCCTACCCATCCCTAACTTTAACCAAAAGTAACCAACCCAAATACAAGTCTTTTGGCATTTTTACTTTTTTGATTGCATTCACAGATTTTTATAAAACTGAGGTTATCCAAATGGGGACCTCAAAAGATGTACTCAAAAGTAAGGAAATGTTAGGTTTTACTACACTTTGGGGACAATTTGGTCCTCAAATGTGATTTCTGCAAACCCCCCCCCCCCCGCCCTCCCCTCCCCCCCTCTCCACGCCGCCCACCAACCGCCATCCC